TAGAGAAAACTCTTCTTGTCTTTTAAAGAAACTGAACTAGGGGTGTAAACTTTACCGTCGATTTTCTCAAAACAGCATTTTTTTCGGGATATTCCCCTTGTGCTTAAAAGCGACCAATTTATGATCGTTGCTCCCTACGGAAGCAATAGCATTGCTTCTTAGTGCGGCCAGCAAACCTGCAGCACAAAACAGAAGCTTTACCGGAGTCTGTTGTGTACATGTATGGGCCAGACGTATCACTGTTGCACGCAGGAGACCCGAGTGGGAAGAACATTAAATTTTGTGTCGAGTATCTTGATCGGTGTGTGTGTGTGTATGTATCTGTGCGTGTGTATGTATGTATGTATGTATGTATCTGTGAGTGTGTGTATGTATGTGTGTATGTATCTGTATGTGTGTGTGTATGTATGTATCTGTGTGTGTATGTATATGTATCTGTGTGTGTATGTATCTTCTTTGTGTGTATGTGTGTGTATGTATGTATCTGTGTGTGTGTGTATGTATGTATGTATGTATCTGTGTGTGTATGTATGTGTGTGTGTATGTATGTATCTGTGTGTGTATGTATGTATCTGTGTTTGTATGTATGTATCTGTGTTTGTATGTATGTATCTGTGTGTGTATGTATGTATCTGTGTGTGTGTGTGTGTGTGTGTATGTATGTATCTGTGTGTATATGTATATATCTGTGTGTGTGTGTTTTTCTGGGATGTTGTATCCCTAACAGCCCTGTTTGCCCTGACAGACAGGGTGGGAAACCCGCCTCGTAGTGGTCTAGATATTTCGTCGATGGGAGCGTTAAAACACCTCATTAAAATTGAGAGCTTTAATTATATCTTTAGTGGGTGGTTGGCGTGTGCTCTGGTGTAGTTTGCTTCTTCTTTTCTATCAAACGTCTGTCGTCTTTATCTGCGCTCCCTCTTTTTTGTGTTTATTACTCTCTTGTAACACCTCTAATCTTCGGTACTTATATGACCTTCTTGGGTTGCAAGTGTCGTAAAACACTTACTAAAACTAAATTATATTTTTTTAAACTGAGTAGGCCTACATGTAAGGGAAGGTGGGGGGACTCCACACCCGGGGTACTTCCACACCCCCATTAACAGCTTTGAGAACCAACAGAAATCTGTTTGACATTCAGTTTTAATTTCTTGCTTCTGTCTGCCATGTTTTGTTTTTCAGTTCAGCTTTAATTTCTTGAATGTCTGTCTTTATATTTTCATTTTGGGCATTTGTGGAATTGCCCCACAATATTAAATTTTTTATTAAGTTGAAAAAATGGAAGTTTGGGGACGGTGTGATACCGTAGAATTCATGTTATGTTTTGTTTCCTAACTTATCAGAGTGGGTGCTGTGCTCTGGTGTGCTTTACTCCTTCTTTCCTATCAAGCGTCTGTCGTCCTTGCTCTCCTACTCCTTTTTTTTGTGTTTGTTACTCTCTTGTAACACATCTAATCTTCGGCACGACCTTATTATTTTGCTGCAAGTGCCGTAAAACTCTTACTAAAACAATAACTTATCAGACCTAAAGTAAAACTGTTGTGGAGGATGTGTCCTCTTTCTACATAAAGTAGCTTCTATAACTCTTGTCTCACAATCCAATTGAAAAGTATGGCGTGGAATACCCCACATTACTATATTATTTCATTTTGTGTGCGCTGTGTTCTTTTTTTCACGGGTTCTATTTTCCAGTTCAGATCTCGACCACTTGGTGAATGATTGGAAGGCATCACTAGCAGATCTAGGTCCTATTTTCTCTCACCATCTTACCTCTGTATTTTTTCCCAACGCTTAATGACCATTATTGTGTTGATGTACGTCTCTTTACTCAAAAAAAAAAAAGATGGTGAGAAAAAGAAGAGAGGGGGGGGGGGAGGGGTAAGTCTTTTACGGCGCTTGCAACTGCAATAGATATATAGATATAGATATATATATATAGATAGATAGATAGATAGATATATAGATATATAGATAGATATATATATATGTGTGTGTGTGTGTGTGTGTGTGTGTATCGTGGGGCACATTATTATTAAATCATTTTCAGTTTGATAATTAAACTTGAATTTTGCTCAGGTGGCGGCCGAAGCCTACTTTTATCAATATTTTGGACAACCAAGAGATCTTTGTTGTGCAACGGGACTTGCGAGGTTGTTTTTTCGCCGTTGTCTGAGAAGGCTAAGTGTTTGATCTTAGGCGTACCTACACTAAGATCAGGGGTATGGCTGAAAGACAGCAGTAAGAAGGAGTTAGGAGTAGCAGTAGAAAGAGTCAAGAGCTCATAGGAGGGGGGAGGGAGGGGCTTGGGGCCAGGACATGGAGACGAAAGCAGATGACAGAATATTATGATTAGATTTGAGGGCAGGACAGGAGGTGAAAGGAGAGAATTTTGGAGAAGAAAATTTTCTGTCGCGGTTATGTTTCGAACCGAAGACCTATCGAATGAGACTTTGAAAGGCGAACACCGTACCTCTAGACCATGAGAGCCCCCAGAGAGAGAGAGAGAGAGAGAGAGAGAGAGAGAGAGAGAGAGAGAGAGAGAGAGAGAGAGGGTGGGGGGGAGATAGATAGATAGATAGATAGATAGATAGATAGATAGATAGACAGATAGATAGACAGATAGATAGATAGATGCAAATAGATAGACAGAGAAAGAGAGAGACTGGGAGGATGGAAGGAGATATAACTGAGGGATTGCAGTTATTAACATTACCGATCCTTTATAACGATCAGAATTAGTGTTCACATAGTCTACACAGATATTACCCTTTTGCTATAACAATACCAAGCGGTAGCAGCGAGAGAGAGAGAGAGAGAGAGAGAGAGAGAGAGGGGGGGGGGATAAATGGAAGTGTTAAACTGTAAACACATAATGATGGATGGATCTTACACGCATGCTCACACGTGCGCGCGCAAACACACACACACACACACACACACACACACACATACACACACACACATACACACACAAACAAACACACACACTTACACACACACTTACACTGGCAGAACATAATGTATACACCCAAATGCTCGTGCAACTTTCCCCCCAAACATAGAAGGCGAAATATTGTAGTTTAGTGTGCACAAGTAATAATATTTATTGCTTCTATACAAATTTTAAAAATAAATACAACTGTCATGTTTCACTGTCGTTCCAACATTTCGTCGTATTTACACACACACACATATCAAGGAATTTCTCACGTACATGTACACGGGACCTCAGTGATTTCTTGGCCTATCTCCATTTTTTTAAACATTGAAAATGTGACTTCTTCTAAAGCTCACTCTTTGTTATGAACTGTTTTCCCTGTTATTGAATGAAAATGGAGATATGTCAAGAAAGCACTGAGGTCGCATACAGTTACATCTAATTACATGTTTGTCTTTCGAACAAGAAGAAACACGACACTGTCCTACCTAATAACATAAAGACATACATTTACAGTAAACTAAGGATCACAACTAACGAACGATTAGGCTTGTTCACAGCATTATGGCGTTAGAAATATGGCGTACTGATAAAGTAAAAGTAAAAGAAAATAATAGCAATAATATTTGAATTCAGAGGTAATGCTAAATTGTAAAATATTCGGAATTTAATATAAGATTTTAAAAAGATATCCGATTCGTAAGATGCGGGGAGGGGGGGGGGGGGGTGAGGAGATGATAGTATGGGTAATAATCGGGGGGTGGGGGTGCTTCAATGAGAAGGGTTTTAATAAATACTATAAAGAGTTTAATATAATGAAAAGGGAAGAGAAAATTTGATTTGACAAAAAAAAAATGATTTTATGGCAACATTGTTCTTATGTAAAGTTGCGATGAAAGAGGATTAACCCTCTTGTAATTTAAACTTTGTTCCCAAGAGGAGAGGATACCCCGATCGATAGACCCATTACGGCAACCGCCATCTTTGTGGTTTGTTTACTGTCGTCATAGAAATACGAACAAAGTCTGTGACTGTGATTTGTAAACATTGGTAAGAACTTGCCTTTGTCTGGACGGAATCCTTAGGCCTATTTTTTTCCTTCTTTTTTGTATCGACTCATTAGTCTGAGCCCAATACCTCACTATGACAAAACAGTTGGCCATCTCCGAGATTTTTCACCCTTATCTGGAAAGGCTGGGTGTTAGATCTTACCTACCATAAGATCAGGGTGTGGCTGAAAGACAACAGTTAAGCTGTTTTGTCGCGGTGTAGTGCTGGACAAAAGGTCAACCAACAAGCAAGTGCGTTTTTGCTCACGCCGCTGTTCACCCAGAGAGTCCTAAATTTATGAGTGGCCCATCATCAGATTCCGCGCGAAAATCCGACAAAGATGGCAGCCGTGACGTCATCCGCGATAAGTCTATAAATATGTCCGTCTCTTCAAGCGGTATTTAATATAGTTTAACTCATGTAAAGGACAAATAATGAGAAGCAATGACGTTTTCAATCATTACATGCCTGTCTGGAGAGTGATGTGGGTGTTATGAAAGTTTACCTGCGCATCACTTATCAAGATTACTGATTAGGGAAGCCAAAAATACATGCCTATAATAATTTTATTAGTCATTGTTTTGGGGGAGCAGGTGACCGAGACTATGGTTTATTAGTCCCTATTGTCGCTGTTCTTGGTTTAGTTCTGAATATGGGATGTCACCAAAAGTATATTATTCTTTTTTGAAGAAGGGTGTTGACGGTGGTTGCAGAAAGGTGGTGTGAATAAATCGTTAAGTTGGTGAGTGCACTAAATGCGAACAGCTAACCTCATCCATATGGGATTATTTTTCATAGACAAAAATCTTTTATCGGTACATTTTGGGGTATTTTGATTCATTATCATTTGGAGGCAAACTTTCAGTGGTCTTTTCAAAGTAGTCGACATTTCCCTACTCAGTCATTCTCTTACAACGCTTTCTTTTGCATTAATGTAAGCTTTCAACCCTGTCATACCAACTCGTACAGTGTTCTCATAATTTATCCCTCTCATGTCGTCTTCTTTTTACTTTTTTTTTTTTTTTTTGGTCTTCTTTCTTATTCCATTCAAAATCATATTTCGTAGAAAACAGACATTCAGTGGACTGAGGAAAGAATAACAGATGTCATCCGCCCTTCATGTTCGCGTATTACACAACTTTACCGTTATATGAGTCAATGTTATGCTAGTTTCTCTTGCATGTTGTGAACAGAAGACTTGGAAGCCACTTCCGCTTTGGCGGCCTCAAAATGGCCGTCCACGATTTCTTGAGGTGTGCAGCCGATACGGAAGTAGGTTATTATACCTGCAGGAAATAGAAGTGAAGGGAAAGAAACATGGTTAATTAGTTAGTAGGTTTTTATACCTGCAGGAAATATACGTGAAGGAAATGAGACATGGTTAATTAGTTAGTAACAGTGATGTAACTCTTCTGTGATGGTCACAGATTTGTATATGGATACAATGGTACAATGTAGCCTAGAACATAAAAGAATCACTTACGCTTTCGAAATTGTTTCTTTGGCTGTCAGTGGCATAACAATGTCGATAAAATCATGATCTCTCTAGAAAAGTTAATGATAATGAATTGTGTTTGTTGTCTGATAAAGTTTTTTCAGTGGTCATGTGAATATTGTGTGATTTCTAGTAAAGTGAACCTACCCCCCTCATTGTATCATCTGATACACTTAAATTCGTCGGTGCACAATTTAGATATCCAAGGACCCTGGGTGTTGTTTCCTTTCGCTGGATGGTACAACTGTTTACGTGTTTTAAACATACCGGTAATCACAACTGGAGAAATTGTGTCGACTTGGGTATTTACAAACGCAAACAATCATAAACGAACATTTTAAAGACACGAGTAGGTTACGTTGTTTGTTTGTTTTTTGTTGGGTTTTTTTTAAAAAGTGTGTTCGTTGTTATTTTTGGTTTTGTTTTCTTTTCTGGTTTGTGTTTTCTTTTAGTTTGTTTGTTGTTATTTTTTGTTTTGTTTTGTTTTCTGGGTTTTTTAAATTTGTTTTTTATTTTTACTTTTTTAAATTTTTATTTGTTTATTTCTTTTTTTAAATTTGTTTTTTTTTGGGGGGGGGAGGGGAGGGGTCATTGTCACTCCTCTACTTTGTCGACGTAAGAACAGATTATCAAACATCTGAGAAGAAAACTTAATATCCTTGTTAGATATCTAATGACCCCCCCCCCCCCCCCCCAACAACAACAACAATAAATTCAGCTCAGATTCTTTATTTTAAATTATTAACTGACGACTCATACGAATTATAATTGAGAAACCCTTCCTTGACAAAAATCCAGATTAGTTTACCGTGTTCTTAAATTTTATTGAGGAAATCAATTATGTAAATTGATGTAACATCTGGGTTAAGTACATTCATAGTAAATGTATCGGTTTTGAAGCCCCTATCAGCACAATTAGATTATTTACACCTGGATTAAAGAGAACGATCATAATAGCAAACACCATTAACTTCCTTAAGTTTGAATGCGTATGTTTAAGCATTATGTTGCTCAACTAAGTTTTGCTTTGTTTCCAGTACAGTGAACGCAATCATTATTATGCCATCTGAGGAATGCTGTCATTTTGTTTGATATATTGTTTAGTGTTGATGTGAAGTAGATGCTTTTATTGATGAGTGTTAAGTTGTCACTACCTTATAAACAATACTTAGACTTAGACTACAGGGGGGAAATTATGAGTGTCTGCGCACGCGCGTGTATGTGTGTGTATGTGTGTGTGTGTGTGTGTGTGTGTGTGTGTGTGTATGTGTGTGTGTGTGTGTGTGTGTGTGTGTGAGAGAGAGATAGAGAGAGAGAGAGAGAGAGAGAGAAAGAGAGAGAGAGAGAGAGAGAGAGAGAGAGAGAGAGGGGGGGGGGAAAAATCGACAGATAAAAAGAAAGACAGAGAAGATGGGGTAATAAAGAAGATGGCGAAGGGAGACCCAAAAAAAAAAGAGAAGAAAACAGAAGAGAAATTATAATGAAGACACGAAAAACAGAATGGAGGGCCAAAGCAATGTGCATGTAATTGATGTAACATACAAACTATCAGCGTGTTCTCACCTTCATCGATCTTGAGACAATTGACCACGGTTGAGGCCACCAGCTCATTAGATGTCCCATCGCACACCACGCCGTCCAACTTTTCACCTGCGGACACACAAGGAAACCAGGTCGTTGTTTACGAAACGAAAAATCCCAGGTTTATTTGCACTACTTTTTCAGCCAGCCCCCGTGATTTTTTTTTCTTTTGTTTTTTTGTTTGAGGTGGTTTGTTTTACGAATGTTTGCCTTTCCTGACCATTCTGTTCTATTAACCCTTCCATTGCCATACCAACTCTGCATGGGTTCTGTGACAGTATCGTGGGTTACGCAGTACTTTTACTCCAAGCATACGACACGCCAAGTTAGACTGGCTCGGTCGTTTTCATTTTCAGTCATAACAAAAATCTCCTAAATACTAGCGAATCCACCGTATCTATATCCAAACTGTATATCACTGCATTGACCATTTCTGCTCTGTTTGGTGTTTGTTTTTTGCAAGTTAAATAGAAGCGGAGTCATACAGTGGAGTTTGTGGTGCTGCAAAACTGATTGGCAAAACTGGCTGCGTACAAAGTTGGAATAGCCTGTAATAGCCTGTCGGAATTCTGTAAAATGGCAGCTTGCACGGTTTGCTTCCCAGGAAGTTGGGATTGTTTCAGAATGCTATCCAGTCTGCAAGGGTAATGATAAAGATTGTAAAGCTCATAGAGATTGCTGTTGAGCGGGAATATGTGCTTTATACAAATGCTATTTATAATTTATTATAGTTACTTCATGGTCCAGTTTGAGTTGTTAGTGCACCAGGGTGACATATAATTTTGCAGTGAAACGTTGCTAACAATGCGTGATACATTTCTTTTGAAAAAATTGTTATTGTTAATTTTTTTAAAACAAAAAACTATTCATTCGGCATACTCATAAACATTACGTGTCAGTGGGATATGTCACAACGTTGACTTGACAGAAACTTAATGTGTAGTGCAAGCAGATCTATACAGCAGGTTTCACATGCTAACAACATTCTCCGATAACAGACGGACCCAGACGAGGGGGGCAAAGATGGTTTTTAAGCCATATTAGGTCTCAGGGTCTTTTAACACATCATACGCAACAAAGCAGACGAAGATAAACCATTTGAAGAAATCAATTTAAATGAAGACTTCTGCATAAACATGCAACCCCACAGACAGACAGACACACACACACACACACACACCCCCCCCCCCCCACACACACACACTCTCACGCGCGTGAATTCGAACAAATATACGTGCGTCTCGAAAGATATATATAATAAACAGCCTAAAAATGACTCAAACTATCAGTTAAAGCTCACTTGCCTCCCATTTTTTAATTCTCGCAACGTTTTCGTTTCTAAAAATTAACCAGCCTTTTGATCAATCTATCTATCTATCTATCGATCTGTCTATCGATCTATCTATCGATTTATCTATCTATCTATCTATCTATCTATCTATCTATCTATCTATCTATCTATCTATCTATCTATCTATCTATCTATCTATACAGACTACAAGATACTAAGGGTTAATGGGAGTGTGGTTAAGGGTACAGCCGTAAGGAATTCTGTGCAACGAACACCGCGTGTCATACAGTGAAAAGATTAAGGTGGGAGCAGTGCATTGATCTTTACTGTCAGCAAAATTATGACAAACAAAACTGGTCTGTCTGCCTAAAATGTTTGGTTTCGTCTGTTATACTTGGATGGGAATATAATCTGTTGGGCAAAAGCTAACTCTTTTTTTCCTCTTTTGGTTTTTGGTTTTTATTTGGTGTTTTTCCTCTGTCTGTCAGACGCATTTCGTCAAACTGTTTTTTTTTGGTGTGGCTGAATGTTAAGAAGACCTTTGTGTACGCTATTCAATATCCTTCTTGCCTTTTTTACATGTACGGTGTATTTCTTTGAGGTTCTAATACTCTTGGCAAAACATATATTGCCCACTCCTCTCCCTATCTCTCTATCACATTCTTTTCTCTCAATTTCTCTCTTTCTCCTTTTCTATCTATCTATCTATCTATCTATCTATCTATCTATCTATCTATCTATCTATCTATCTATCTATCTATCTATCTAAGAGTATACTAAGAGTTAAGAAAAACCCAAGCTTGCGGCCACATACCGAGAGAGTTAATGACCATGTCGTGATGCGTGCTGTCTTCCCCGCCGCTAGGATTGGCCGAGGTGATGGCTATGGGGCCGGACACACTGACTAGGTAGGCCAACACGGAGCTGTCTGGAACACGGATGCAGATACTGTCCTTGGTGCCCACGATGCCGATGGAGTCTCCCAGGCCTAGGCGCTGATGAAGGGATTCGGGCATAGAAGTAGGAGAATATAGATTGCGACGGGATGCAGGCATAGAATTAGGAGAATACAGACTGCAGGCATAGAGTTAGGAGAAATACAGACTATGAAGGGATTCGGGCATAGAATTAGGAGAAATTATACAGACTGTGAAGGGATTCGGGCATAGAATTAGGAGAAATTATACAGACTGTGAAGGGATTCAGGCATATAATTAGGAGACATACAGATTGTATAGGGATGAAATAGAATTAGGACAAATACATATTGTGAAGAGAATCAGGCATAGAATTAGGAGAAATACAGATTATGAAGGGATTCGGGCATAGAATTAGGAGAAATACAGACCACGGAGGGATTTAGTTTTAGTAGAGGTTTTACGGTGCTCACAACTGCATAAGGTCATATTATTATGAGACCCAGAAGATTAGAGGTGTTACAAGAGAGTAACAAACATTAAAAAGAAGAAGGGGAGATAAGGACGATATATGTTTGATAGGAAAGAAGAAGCAAACCACACCAGAGCACCCGCCAACCTACCACTCACGGAGGGATGCAGGCATAGAATTAGGAGATATACATAATATTGTGAAGGGATGCAGGAATAGAATTAGGAGAAATACAGACTATGAAGGGACGCAGGCATAGAATTAGGAGAAATACAGACTATGAAGGGATGCAGGCATATAATTAAGAAAAATACAGACTATGAAGGGATGCAGGCATAGAATTAAGAGAAATACAGACTATGAAGGGATGCAGGCATAGAATTAAAATATAGACTATGCAAAGAACTGCTCTGGGAGTTAACGATGAGGTTTTGTTGTAGCTGTTGCCTTTTTTAAGTTGTATTTTTCTTTATTTGATTGATTGATTGGTTGATTGATTGATTGGTTGATTGTTCAATCAATACCTTACTAGAATCTGAGATAAATCCATGGATTCATTAAGGAATGAATTAAATATAAACGAAGAGAAATTTGGTTGAACAAATTGGTGAAAGATGAATGAAATAACAATATACTGATTGATAACATTTACTGGGAAAATAACCCTGTTCTGTCAACTCAAGAGGAATTGCAGACACGATACTAATAGCTGTTTTCAGACTGGGTTTTTTTCCTGGCACACTCAACCTGAGTTTGTGTCGAAATCTGTCCCTGGGGTTTTATGCACCCCGCATATTTAGCAAAATTTGATCATTTTTTTGTGTGCATAATTTCTGAATATTTTCCTTTATCATTCTTAGTTAAAATTAACAGAATCGCATAATTTCACATTTTTGGGTTCAGTTTGCATACTTTCATAACTTTTTTTTTTGCTGAGATCCGCGGGGACCACGAAATGGTTAGGCCCTTAGCCTAATATAACATGGACGTCAGATTTCCCATGGGGGAGACACTTTGTAAGTTAAAGTTATTTCCCTCTTTCTGGTTGTACGTTGGGCAAACAGTACCCCACAGCATGTATTATTGGCTGTAGCAAGCAAGATCGAAGCAGCAGAGCTTTTTGAAGTGGGAGGTTGGCGGGTGCTGGTATGGTTTGCTCCTTCTTTCCTATCAAACGTCTATAGTCCTTATCTCCCCTTCTTCTTTTTTATGTTTATTACTCTCTTGTAACACCTCTCTTCTGGCGCTCATGTGACATTATGCAGTTGTGAGCGCCGTAAAACCCCTACTAAAAAAGAGCTTTTAAATTAATATCTTAATTGTTTCAAAGGGTAATTCCGTTTTTGAAATGGCA